GGCGCTTTTTTTATCTCTCAAGCGAAGCAAGAGTCCAAGATCTCCATAGTCCACACAGCTTTTGTTCAGACGGCGCCGTCAGGTAGTATCCAGGCGGGCGGAAGCCTGCCTGCCTTGCATAGGCGATGATGGCCCTTTTGAAGGCCAAGTTACTTCACAGGTGTTCGATGGCTCCTTGCCAGAGCAGTGGGTGCATTTCTTCAAGCAGAAGTGCCTGCAACCTGGGAGAAGCAGCACCGCATTGGCTCTCCAGAGTCGTCATTCGGCCACCACAAAGGGGAGGGTCGCATTGCCATAACTCACTGTGATCCAAGCGTTTTCTTGTCGCGTGATGAGCGGTGGGGCAACCAGTGTGGACGGCTGCTGGGTCTCAAAGTCGAGGGGTTCTTGCAGTGCCATGGCACAGAAAAGTCAACCTGCCCGGTCAGCCAGTGGCCACAAGCAAGAGGCTCTCCACTCCACTAGGATCCTTCCTTCCGCAAGGCAAGAGGAAACGGCAGGGTCAACTACAAGGGCCAAGAGCTCAGGCCCCTTGAAGTGTACACCTTACACATTTGCCAAGGCAGGTGTCATGGAAACTTCCGATTACAAGCGTCCAAGCCGGGCAGTTTCTAGCTTAAGGCTGCAGGGTCGGACAGTTTTTGGCTTAAGGCTGCAGAGCTGGGCAGTCTTGAGCTTTGGGCAGTCTCTAGCTTAAGACTTTGGCTCAAGGAAGTTTTTGGTTTGAGGCAGCGCAGTTTTTGGCTTAGGGCCAGGCGCGGCAGTCTTTGACTTAAGGCTGTTGGTGTTGCTTCTTTTCATTCTTAACGTAAAAGGGCAGAGGGGGTATTGAGAGTATTGTGGTATGCTGGCTGAATTTTGAAAGAGCAGTGTTTGCTGGTGTTGCGTTTTGTCATTCTTAACCTAAAAGAGCGAAGCCCTCAAGAGCAACAAAACGTGCTGTATTAACTCTTGCAGTTGGGGAAGAACAGTTTTGCGGCATGCTGGCTAAATGTTGAAAGGGCAATACCCGCTAGTGTTGCTTCTTGTCGTCCTAGACCTGAGGAAAAAAAACCTCTAAGAATCCCAAAAACATGCTGTATCCAAGTTTTCAGTGGGGCAGAGCGGCTTTGACAGTATTGTGGTATGCTGGCAGAAGTTTGAAACATCAACGTTTGGTGGTGTTGCTTCTTGTCATCCAAAACCTAAAGAACAAAGCCTCCGAGATTAAAAAAAATCGTGCGTTATCAATTTTTGCAGTTGGGGCAGAGGGTTTTGACAGTATTGTGGTATGTTGGCAATTCTGAAAGAGCAGTGTCTGCTGGTTTTGCTTCTTTTCATCCTAAACGTGAAAGAGCAAGGCCCTCCAGATTAAAAGAACGTGTTGTATCAACTCTTGCAGTTGGAGTAGAGCAGTTTTGACAGTATTGTGGTATGTTGGCTTTGAAACCGCAACGCCTGCTTGCTGGTGTTGCTTTTTGTCATCCAAAACTTGAAAGAACAAAGACTGTGGCTTTTGCATGGTTTTGCAAGACAGAAGGCTTTGTTCCAGCTTTTTCAAAGCGGGCGCCTCTTGACTACATCAGCACAGTAGGCCGTTCTTGTGGGTCTTGTAACTAGGTGTGAAACGGATTGCTGTGAGAAGCAGGAAGAACCAGAAGGACGAACACCACCACTAACCAAACCAACCAAACAACCCAGCGAACAAGCAGCAACAACCAAAAAAAAACCGGAAGCGACCAAACTACTAGGTTCCCCGCAAGCTTAGTACTCAACGTCATCGATGTCCAAGAGCACATCCATGCCGCACCAAGCTGTGCAGGGAAATTGCAAAATGCGAATGTATGCCAGAAAGTCAAAACCACCATCTTGTAGACATTTGTTCAACGTCAATCCGCAGAGATATCCACGAATCTCAATTAACGGTGCCACCAAAATCCATAGCCGTGTTGCCACTTCTTGCCAGCGGTGTGCAGAACCAGCCCAGGGCACTCCGTGGTAATCAGCCAGTGGGGCCAGCCCTAAGCACATCGAAGACTAAAGTCCTTTCTCTCATTCACAACTCGAGGGGGGTAGAATTTAGAATAAATTCCCCTCTTTCTCCTCTGAGTTTTCGAATAATGAAATACGAAAAAACAAAAGAATATTCGAGCGGGGTGGAATTTAGAATAAATTCTCTTCTCCTCTTTTGCTTTAAGAAACAAAATAAGATTGAACAATACAGGTTCAAGCCAGATTCAACCCAAGTTCAACCCAGGTTCAACCTAGGTTTCGAATTAAACCCAGGTTCAACCTGAATTCAACCTGGGTGGCGTGGGTGGGTCTTAATTCGTCGTGCCAATGCCGACCGCGTGCAAGCCATGCTGCAATGAGGTTCAGACGCAAGTGCGCCAAAGACGGACTGCAAAAGTGTGTGCTTGCCTTGGAGAATTTTCTGCATCCGTTGTCTTTGAGCTGTAAAACAGGTTTCCAAAAGAAAGCAACGCAACAAAAAAACCAATCCAACCAAACCAAACCAGCAACACAAACCAACCGACAACGGAGTGAAGTGCAGAGAGTGAAGTGCATTGAGTGAATTGCATGGAGTGAATTGTGTAAGTAAAGTCCATGGAGTGAAGTGCATCAAGCTGTTTGTTAATGCAAAACTTTCTGAGAACATTGTGTTTGCATGTCGCATTTTGCGATTCTCCTGCACGCCCGTTTGAAGTATCTTTCTTGTCCCATGGATTGCCGGCGCAAAATATGATAAAGTACAACACGCCCTTCAATGCGCAGCAGCAAAGTAAAGGCCAAAAAAAAGATTTTCACTTGTCTGTCATGGCTTCTTCGATCAAGGAAGAATTTCTGAGAGACGAGGGTAGTGACAGTAAGGAAGAACCACATGACCACATGATAGCTCAAGCTCCAAGCACAACCAAGCCATGCTTGCCGGAAGTACTTGCGCGAAAGCGGAAGGAACTGCAGCAAAGCGCGGAGTAAAGGTGGTTTGCTTACCACAGCAGTGCGACATGGCACTCGATCACGACAGGATCCACGCCACTTGATCACTGCGAAGCGCCATCCAGCTACTTCTCTGGCGTCTAGTATACTCTTTCTTATTCGCTCCCACAGGGAAAGACACTCTGGGAATTGGAGAAAGAACGTCTGCTATTGCCGGAAGCCAAAAGAGATGGGTGGGTTGGTATGCTAGATTGGCGGCGGACAAAGCTTGAAGAAAGAGAGCTGGGGCCGGAAGAGAGAGGGAGAGACGGAGGGAGGGAGAAGGAGAGGGAAGGGAGAGAGAAAGAGAGAAGGGAGGGAGAGAGGAAAAGAGAGAAGTGAGAGAGGGAGTGAGGAAGGGAGAGAGGAAGAGAGAGAAAGAGGAGGAAGAGGGAGGGAGAGAGGGAGAAAGAGAGGGAGGGAGAGAGGGAAGGGAGGGAGGGAGGGAGAAAGGGAGGGAGGGAGGGATGGAGAGAGGGAGGAAAAGGGAGGGAAAGAGGGAGAAGAGAGGGAGGGAGAGGAGGGAGCGGGAGCGAGGAAGGGAGAGAGGGAGAGAGGAGAGAGGAGGGAGAGAGGGAGAAGAGAGGGAGGGAGAAGGAAAGGGAGGGAGGGAGAGAGAGGGAGGAGAGAGAGGGAGGGAGAGAGGGAGGGAAGAGGGAGGGAGAGAGGGAGGAAGAAAGGGAGGGAAAGAGGGAGAAGAGAGGGAGGGAGAGAAGGAGGGAGTGAGAGAGGGAGGGAGAGAGGGAGGGGAGAGAGGGAGGGAGGGAGGAGGAGAGAGAGGGAGAGGGAGAGAGGCAGAGGGAGAGGGGGAGAGGGAGATGAAAGGGCCTTGATATCCTGACAGCCTGGTATTCCGTGAAGAGAATAATAAAAGAATACGGGCTTACAATGTAATGCAATGAAGCGTGAAGCCCGTAATTATATTATGAACGTAACACCTGGAACTAGAAGCCCTTTCAGTAAGCCTTTCCAACTCTCCGGAAAATCAACCACTCACTCGCATACATGTTCACTTAATTCTCTTCTTAGTACCAATAATTTAACACTGTAATTCACGCGTCATGGGAGGGAGAGAGGGAGGGAGAGAGGAAGGGAGAGAGGGAGGGAAGAGGAAGGGAGAACGGGAGGGAGCGAGGAAGGGAGGAGAGGGAGAGGGAGAGGGAGAGGGAGAGGGAGAGGGAGAGGGAGAGGGAGGGGGAGGGGGAGGGGGAGAGGGAGAGAGGGAGAGGGAGAGGGGGAGAGGGAGGGAGAGGGAGAGGGAGAGGGAGAGGGAGCAAATTTAAAAAAAAGGGAGCGGAAGCGGGAGGGAGCAAATTTAAAAAAAAGGGAGCGGAAGCGGGAGGGAGCGGGAGGGAGCGGGAGGGAGCGGGAGGGAGGGGGAGGGAGCGGGAGGGAGCTGGAGGGAGCGGGAGGGAGCGGGAGGGAGAGGGAGAGGGAGGGAGCGGAGAGGGAGCGGGAGGGAGCGGGGGAGGGAGCGGGAGGGGGAGGGAGAGGGAGGAGGGAGATGGAGAGGGAGGGGGGGAGGGAGAGGGAGAGGGAGGGAGGGAGGAAGAGGGAGGGAGAGGGAGGGAGTTCGCAGTCTACGTGATGCGGGTTAGTGCTCCTTATGTTTTTTTTCAGGAATCTTCGAAGAACGTGGAAGAACAAATTTTTGTACGTGTCAATTCCAAAAACATTGGAAACAAACAATGTTGTTGCCGAGTTCGATTTCAGAAAGTGTTTGGAAACCAATGTCATTGTAGTGTGGTTGGTTGCATACATACATGCTTCTACACAGGGTACAAACCCAGCGAATCCTGGTGTGCGCCGCTGTTTCCAGTGTGTCAGGCTCAAGTGCTCAGCGTGTTTAGCTTGCATGCAAACTAGGCTAGACTGAAGGCGTTGTGTCCAATGCCGCTAGTGACCGCTAGTGATTGGCATTTGCATGGAGCTTTGCACGTCCAGTCTCACATGCTAAAATTCTTCGTGCGTGCACGCATGCTAGAAGCCAATGAACACTTCTGTTGTTGCATTTCCCCATCACCTCTTACACACCCTGTGCCATGTTCATCGAGCAAGATGGTTGAGCTGCAACTTGGCAGCCAACTGATCTGAATTGGCGATGGTTGTGCTTCATCCTTGGGTTTGGAACGTGTAGCTGGGTTAGTCCATGAGAGAATATGAGAGAGTAAGGGAGGGTGAGAGAGGAGATGTGGGATCGGATGGCGTGCTTTTATTCTGTTGCTAGCATATGGGCCTCGGGGAACTTGTGCTTCACAAGACGGAGAAAAAGAGGAAGAGGGAGAGAGAGGGAAAGAGAGAAACGGAGACCGGGGCCTATCAAATTTCAGAGGCGAATATATATGTGACACGCAGGAGCAGGGCTCGTGTCATGTGCGGGTTTCTTCCCTCATGCTTTGAAAAAAGGAACGAATGAAAGAACAAAAAGAAGAAAAGCAAGACATACAGCAACACAAAATATGAAAAACACGATAAAAACAAATAAAGCCATTAAACGAACACAAATTAAAAAAACAACAAAAAGAAAAATCACAAAATGCAAAAGCAATGAGGGAGAGAGAAAGAGAGAGAGAGAGAGAGAGAGAGAGAAAGAGAAAGAGAAAGAGAGAGAGAGAGAGAGAAAGAGTGTGTGCATGCGGTTACGTGTAATTGTCTCAGGGCACAGTTTAGGTTCAACATTTCTGGTTCAGGCCTTGTGCGTAAAAAACAAACCTGTCAGATGCAGCATCATCGGCGAGGAGGGAGGGTTGTCTTTTGCCAGGTAGTCGGCGTGGGGCGGCGCAAGGTCTCTGCGCAGTCCCCCCAGCCTTGAGCTCTCAAGACTATCAGCGTGGGGCGGTGTCAAGGTCTCCGACAGATGTGGCCGTGCTCTTTACGGCGCAGATCGGGCGGAAGAAGCCGGCAGCATGGCTCGGTGTTAGGCTCGTTTGGGTCATTTTGGGTCCTGGTCATGACAGGCTGCTGATTTGGAGATTTGGGATGGGTGGGGCAGGGTTGGGTTTGCGATTTGGTGGAGGCTTTGCGCCCGATTCAGGATGGGTTTCATGTCGATTCTGTGATGAGGGCTTAGTTGGGCTTGAATTCACAAGTTTGGAATGTTTGTGGACATGTTTGACACTAAACCCTGCAATCCTCCGCGAGCAGCAAGAGCCAATAGTCTTGCCAAAGCCTTCGAAGCCTATGCAAAGGACCTCAACATTCCCCTAAACCCTAAACCCTAAACCCTAATCCCTAAACCCTAGACCCTAGACCCTGGACCCTGGACCCTGGACCCTAGACCCTAGACCCTAGACCTTAAACCCTAAACCGTAAACCGTAAACCCTTAACCCTAAGCCCTAAACCCTAGACCCTAAACATAAAACCTAAGCTGCAGTCCTTTTGAGGTCTGGCGCGAGGGTCGAATTCGGATCATTCGAGGAAGCGCTGTCCTCGTTAATGCGGAGGGCGCGCGGCTCGAGGTGCTGTGAGGAATCTCTTCTTCGCCGCTCTTAGGGTGTAGGGTGTAGTGTTTAGGGTTTAGGGTTCCAGGGTTTCAGAGCTTCATAGGTAGGCGCTACTTCCGTGAAGCGCGCCAAAATGCGGGCCTGCGGAGGCGACGCCGGCAGATTCGCTTCAGAAATGGCTGCAGCAAGGTGCGCAGGGTCTGGCAAGCATTGGACGCGAATTCCCTGAATCGGTGTTCGTCAGTACTTGTCCAAAATGCTGTGCTTTTTGGTGCTGAGGCTGAGAGCTTTAGTGTTTTAGTACTTTGTGTTTTAGCCTGAGACCCCGAAGCCCTGACCCCTTTTTATCCAATCAAAGGTCCGGCCACACGTCATATACTTCTCTAGCTAGATATCTCAAAGCTTGAACTCCACAATCAAATTTCGCTTCGCCCACCACAGGGGGTGAGCTGTGCTTAGAGCGGCACAAGCTTCTCTTGGAGATCGAGGGCGAGGAGCAGTTTGTAGTTTTTTTTTTTTTTTTTTTTTTTTTTTTTTTTTTTTTTTTTTTTTTTTTTTTGTTTTTTTTATTTGGGCGTATGGAGGTGATGTTTTTCACGTTTAAGCGTCGGGGGTGTACTGCAAGGGTTCATGGTTGACATGGGTTTTGGGATGAGGGCTGGGCTTGTGGTTCGGGCTTGGAGTCACATGCCTTAAGGAACCGTGTGCCCTGGACATGCAGTACCTTGCGGGTTCTTATTGATTGTGAACGGCTTCTAATGAAAGACTCGAGGCCCTGTGAGGGCATTGCAAGAGGCTTAGTTCTAGCTCCAAGCCAAGAGCTTGTAGCCACTGCTGGCTTCATGCCGGCTTGTGAGACTGAAACCTGTAGGGGGTGGTCCCAGAACTTCCCATCCACATGCAGTGAGCACGAGGATAGAGGCCTGTATCAAGGAACGGTCGGGTGTCCCTGTCAGGAACGTGCTGATTTGCAAAGTGAGCCAGAGGCGCTACGGGGACAAAGTTGAGGGGTTTGCTGGTTTGGTGGATGATTGGGACTGGTGAAGAACTTCTGCTGAGGCCGGAAGTTGTGAAGGTGCACCAACACAAACCAAGGCTTTGCGTTCGAGAATGCGTTGGAGTCGGCGATTAGAGTTGCCAGTCGGGTTGAGAAATGTGCGGTTTTGTTACCATCATGGTGATTCAGCTGTGGCAGCAGGTCTCCAGGCTCAACAGGCGCACAATCATCAACCACTCATCAGCGCAAACCGTTTGGTCGGAATTCCGAAAAAGAAAAAACACCAACCAACTTTATCCAAGCTGTTAAAATGCAGCTGTCCTAGCTTGTGAAGTCGGGAAGGCATCTGACGGTGCCAAGAGAGGCTTTGAAGTGGTTGATTGAAAAATTGCATAGGTCTGGGTTTGCGTTTGCTTCGGGTAAAAGTCGATCGGGTCATATCGGATCAGCTGCAGCCCCCAGGATCGGATACAACCGCAGGAATGAAGTGCTTCGATCCGAAGCTGTCTTAATTGTTAGAACGCCTCCTGAGCTCCTCTGAGGAGCCGAAGCGGAAGGCTCACTGTGCTCCCTTCCGGGCACCGCGCTCCACGCCGCGCCTTCTTCACGTGGCGGCAGGGGCTGCTGCTGCGAAGGCTTTTTGTTTTGTAGTTTTGTTGGGTTTGAGAGGCCGGTGTTTGGCTTCAGATTGTGTTGTCTTGTGGCGTGAGTTTCAGCCAGCACCTACACTGACATAAACCCCCCAATCTCGCACTCTGACGCAAGCGCACGATGCGCCAGGCCCCGGCCCCGATGCATGCCACGGGCCTGGACGGCTCTCCTCAGCAAATGGGCCCATAGCTTGGGTACTTTTTTCGGAGGGGGCCAGGGTTTTGCGATTCTTGGTTTGTGGAGGTTGGGTCTCTCTAGCCAGACGTGTAGGATCTGTTTGAGATGAGTTTGGGCTAGTGCAGATAGGTGGAAAGTCGAAGCGTGTGACTAGGACGAGAGGAGGCCGTAAATCCTCATCCCCCTACGTCACGAAAGCTAGGTGAGAGCTTCGGATCATTCGTCGTCCGGTCGTGCATTAACCTAGGTTTTTGCGAGCGTGTCAAGGGTTCCGCCGGCCCGGAATGTTGTTAGATGTAGGTGCTTGTTGCACGGTTCTTGGTATCATTCAGAGAGCTTCTAGCTCATGTATTTAGGGTGTTCAGGGGGAGTGCCAGGTTTGCAGTGTGAGTCGTGGGGGCGGGTGGCCCGGGGCTGGTGCTGTAGAACTTTGAAGAGGTTAGAATTCTGTGGAATCCGCCTCTACTAAGACCTGTGGCATCGCTGTGCTGCAGCCGTGGAGAAGGTGGCCCGGCGCGAGGCTGAAGGCTTCCTCCTCCAGTGCTGGTGATGTAGGTTTAGAGTTTGGGGCTTTGCTGTCTCGGCATCCACATGTCGTGCTTCATGCCTCTGAGTAGTTCTGCTGCCCTACAGGACCACAAGTTCCTGAGCCTTGAGACACAGGCCCTAGGCATAATCATAAGCCCCAGACATCAAGTGCTCAGCCTCCCTTTCGGTTCCTTTCAATGGCCCCCCCCATTGAACGTCCCTAGTCCCTAAAGGCCTGAAGCGGACGGACCTCTGGGAAGCCGCCCGCCACGAGGAGGTGGCTCATCCCATGTCGGCCATTCAATGTCGTCCGTCCGATGTCATCCGGCTCAGGGTTTAGGGTTTAGGGTTTAGGGTTAGATCACAGGTGAAAGGGTGGTTCATGTCGCAGGATTGTGCATGTGTGATGTAGGCCCTGGGCGTTTGGCTGCTTTTCGGTTTGGCTCAGCTGAGGGTTTGTGGCTTGGGGTTTCTGGGGGAACTGTGCTTTTTGAAGTTTTTGAATTTGGCATGCTTTGCTTTTGTTGGTTACAGAATGTTACAGTTACGAAGCAGACGGAGAGGGAAGGAAGGTAGGAAAGAAGGGAGGGAGGGAGGGAAGGAAGGGAGGACGGAAGGAAGGAAGGACGGAAGGAAGGACGGAAGGAAGGAAGGACGGAAGGAAGGAAGGAAAAAACATTGTAGGGACTGGGCGTGCCTGCAAGACTCAAACCAGCCTCTACAAGCCCATGGCCCCTGAGGCCGCCAAAAAGGGCTTAAGGCTTTCAAACCGCTTAGTTTCGCCAAAAGCGCTTAAGGCCCTCCGGAACTGCTTTGCTGTGTCTGCTGGCGCTGTCGTTAGCCTGTCATCAGTCAATCCAGGCCCTGATGAACAAGTTCCGCCGGATTTGGCGTGCAGAGCCGGGTCGCGGAGCAGGTGTGGAAGGATGAGATCATCATATCATCCTTCAGTATCATTGTGGCAGTAGTACGAGTATGAAGCTGGTATGTCTGGCTTGGGGCGCTTCGCTCGGAGCCGGGTTTTCTGGCGGGAAAGACTTGCAGGCGATACTTGATCCGGACCACACTGTCGGCTAGCATGAGGTGTAAAGACATCCCAAACTCCAGCTTTAGAGACAGTGGCCAGAAGCACAATCTCAGTATGTTCTGGATTCTCATTGTGATGTTTTCATGCCTGGTAGTCTGCAAGCCATGGGCCAACCGAGTCCACAAAATTCAGACAGAATTTATCATGGCATGATGAGGACCGCAAGCTCGGCTTGAAAGTGCCTGGCAAACTTGTCGCGTTGCAGCCTCGCATATGACGACCAAAATCTCTAGAATCGGAGGCGCCTGGCTGGCGGTTTGTGGCTTAGTGATTTGCCTCGGAGGGAACCAAGCCAGCATGCGTGAAAACTGTCCTCTTCACCTGAGCTGGCGGTATGGCAACGAACAAGCTGAGCCATTCTTGTTCTGATCGCCAAAGCGGTGAGGTAAATCCTCGCACCTTTAGGAAGGTTCAGGAACATGCGCAGTCTTCGCAAAAAGTGTGTAGCAGTGTCAGTACATCAGGAGTACCAGCGCTACGAGTAGCACTTGGAATCTTAGCTTCGTTGCATCATGGTCTTAAGAGGTGGAGCAGCAATGGCTCTACTGTAGCAAGTGATAAGAGGTGCTCGCAGGATGTAAGCATGGGCTGTGACTGGTCAGAGTCGTAGCGTAATGCAGCAGGGATGGTGGAGTCGCGGTGAAGTGAGTCGACGGTTGTCAGGCCACACGTTCATGCTATTTCTCAAATCTTTCAGATGCCAGGCTCGCCTAAAGCTTCCCCTAAGTCCTCAGCCCGCAGACTCTCTCCGTCGACTGCTTCATGGCCGCAGGCTGTCCAGGATTGCAAATGTAATGTATTTGCCCGGTTCATGGCTACATCAGGAAGAGCTGGCGTGAGGTCTTGTTTTCGGCACGTTGAGGCGAATGTCCATTCATAAAAGGTCGAAACCACCCCTACGAAACGCCCCCCTCCACCTACCTTGGATTCCTGTAATCCACACAGAAGTTGTCCGCGCCGCTTCCAAGAAGCTTGCACTTGCGCGCCGCTCCTCATGACAGCTTTTTTTTAGCTTCCATCTGTCCCGCTCTCCAATTGCAGTGGTTGGACCTAACCAGAACCATGGGCTTTCTGCCTGGACTGTTGCATGGAAGCTTTCTAGTAGCAAAACCCTCCATGTGTGGATGGCGCACGGAGTTCCTAAGAGTTCCCCTGCTTCCAAAAGGGCTTCCGTCATAGACTCTGTTTCTGTGTGTTCGGGTGCGATGTCCGGAAAGAGTGACAGCCATGGCGAGCTGGTCAAGGAGGTTTCTGTGGCCTGGCTCTAAACTGAACATCGGCTTCCTTTGCTGTTGATTCACGGAGCCTGCGGAGTCTCAATTTCAGCTCGGGGTTGGAGCAGAAGGTTTCGGCTGGAGGGTCAGGCCGTGTTCTTCTTCGGGTTGACGCAGGGGGGCCCCTTGAGCTCCCCAGCATGCCACTGACCAGGTAATGCCATTCGAGCAGACTACGCTTGTTGCAGGCCGGGGAGGTTTCCGGCATGTTTGGGCCTTCGGGGCTTCTGCTGCATCTTTGCAGATTTTTTTTGCTGCTTCTCTCTGCTTGCCATAGGACTGCGTGCGCACGAAGCCCAGCAGAACTCGCCCTGGCTGGCCCTGGTAGGAAGTTGGCATTAAGAAGGCCCCAACAAGGGAATCTCCATGCCTCAAATCTATCTGAGCCCTGAGCCTGCAACTACCGTTCGGAGCCCTGGCTGCAAAGAAGGGCTTAGGGCCCGCAGTGGGAATAGGGTCGAGGTCTTAAGCTCTAGGAGAAGCAGACAGAAGTGCAGGCAACCAGATGCGCAACATGGCCAGCATGCTGGATATGGAGCACGAGATCAACAGCCAGCGGGAGCTTCTGTGTGCTTCTTTGAGCTTTCCTGAAGCACCTTCTTGGACAGCCCCAAGCCATTGCAAGCGGAGCTCTAAGAATCTTGGAGTGCTCCAGTAGAAACAGTCATTTTGCTCGTCTTGTGCTCTCGTTGAAGATATGGCCTCATCAGCACCGAAAGAGGCAATGGCTTCTCACCCTATGTCGGCTCGGGCCCAGAAGCTCCCCTCAAGCCCTCAACCCCGAATTTCACTTAGGCGCCCTTAAGCTTCAGTTTCGAATTCAGGAGCAGCTCATCCGCGTGACCTACACGATGGACCGCCAGGTGAAAACGCTTGTGTGAACTTTGAGGTTTGGGAACCTGTGTGGTATGTGCAGGGTCGTAGGGCTACAGGGTTGAGCCCTCTTAGTTCGAGAGGTGCCGATGTTCCAAAAACAGCCAGATGACACACTTAGAAGAATCAGGGATTGAACGATCGTTTGCTGCCAGCATTTGTCAACTTACACCCCACTGCAAAGAGAGCATGGGCATGTCAATACCCCCAAACCCTAGACCCTAAACCCCAAATCCTAAACCCTAGACCCTATACCCTAAACCCTAAACCCTAAGCCCTGAAACCTAAACCCTAAAACGGGTCCAAACCCGCTTTTCGAGGTTGCACGCCTCAGCCGCGAGATTGAGCTGCTGCAAGAGCGTCAGGCGCCAGGGGTCCCTAAACCCTAAACCCTAAACCCTAAACCCTACACCCTAAACCCTAAACCCTAAACCCTAAACCCTAAACCCTAAACCCTAAACCCTAAACCCTAAGCCCTGAACCCTAAACCCTAAACCGTATCAGGGGCTGGCAGTGTGGCGCCTTAAGTGCCTTGGTGCAGGGCTTGTGGAGTGTGTCCAAGTACGGGCTGAAGGTCCAAACATTCTTGTGCCACGAAGTTTTGCTTCGTAGTTCCTAGGTGGAGCCTAACTTGGGACTGCCCGCACCAATGTGGGGGCTTCGAAAATAGGGCTACATAACTGGGGTCCTTATTATAAGGGAATCTTACTTTTTGTGGGTCTATATTTGGGGCCCCAGTACTGCGCTTCTCGCGTTTGCTGGCGATGCTCGGGGGGGTACGACCGTTTGACTTCGATCCCTGACTTCCCAAGCAACCCGAGTTAAGCCGTCCTCCGATTGCTTCCCTTGCTGAATACTTTCGTGAGGGATCATGGGGGGAAGAGCTGTGCATCTGAGAAGTTCTGAGAAGTGGGCTATTTTGCCACGTGCTTTCACCAGCAGCACTGTCGCCTTCTCTTGCGGGCGGGGGGGCGGGCACGTGGAGACCTGCCTGAAGCAAGGGGTTTTACAGGTTGAGGGCATGCCCACACACACGCTTCAACCCCAACCTTCATAAACCCCAATCCTGAATACTTACGAATCTTTGCATCCTCTTCACTTTCAGAATGGAATTCCACGTTTCCCAATGCCCAGCGCCCCTTGGGCCTCAGGCATCCTCAAGCCTTGACGTGCGACCCGTCGCCCCAAATTCTGAGCCTCGAAGCCGCCACACAAGCCGAACCACCCTGAGCTCAAACGAACCCTGAAAGCCTTAAAGCTCAAGCATGTGCAAGCTTGTCCTGACATCCATGTCGGCGTATATGCCTTCAACACGCTCACGAAACGCTTCAACGTGCATCTTTTCAATACGCCGTTCTATGAATGTGTGCTGGAGGTGTCCACCCCTGATGCGAATTGGCGTGTTCGGGAGGCGCGGGGGGGGGAGGCACGCCAGGATCTGCTGCGTCTCCAAAGTGATACTGGTGGTCCTTGGAAGAGGGGTTCTGTAGGATCTTCATAGGAGCTGACAAGGAATGGTACATAGATCTGAATCGCAGCTCAGTTCAAACTACATGTCCAACCTCCGACTTTCAAGGCAGACTCATTTTCGTACCCACGGGGTCTGGGATAGAACTTGCAGCTTTCAGGGAATGGCATGTAGGGCTTCAAGCAGGTCTCAAGGTTTCTGGGGTGCGCATTGTAGTCTGATGCTTGTGATGTCAGGGCAGATATTCGTGACATGGACTTGAAACTCCACCTTTCTAGGACCTGAGCCCAAGGTGACTTGTTAAGGTTTTGGGCTTTGGCGTGCAGCGCAGGACATTGAGGCCCTCAGCCGGCGGTTGGACGCCTTGGAGGCAGACGTGTGGTTTTGGCTTTGATATGTGTCTTGTGGCTTCGAAGTCACGGAACTATCGCAAGACACATGGTCACAGTCAACCGCCCAATCCTGAACACTGAGCATTTGTTTCTGTCAGGTCGGGTTGCTAAGAATTGTTGAGTCCGCCCTACGTTGGAAAGCCCCGAAGTTGTTGTTTGGAAAACGGCTGTCTTGTTTACACTACACCCTACGATGCAGGCACAAATGTGGAGCTTTGAGCTTAACGCAGGAAGAGAGGTTCACACAAATTCAGTGCAATCCAGTCTGAACATCTTCACCTCAGTATTTCACATTGGAAGGAGGCAGACAACTCCAGCGCCATGCGCTTGAAGATTTGGATACATGAGCCTTGCTTTAAGCCCAAACCTCCTGGGACCCCTTGGGACCCCCCCTTGAAACCCCCTGGGACCTGAAACCCCTTAAACATCCCCATGCTTTTCAAGCCAGCTAGGGCTTTATGAGGCCTTCTGCCGCTCCGAAGCGGAGGCCAAGGCCGAAGCGAAGGCCGAGGCCAGAGATTTCAGGTCAAGCCTTGAGTCTTACACAAGAGTTTAGGATTTAGGGTTTGCACTTTGGGGTTTAGGGTTCAGGGCTTCGGGTTCACACAGCTGGGCGCGTTCGCGCACAGCAGAGCGGTGCAGCAAGCACTGAGTCCAAGCGTTCGTCAGCAGCTGTCTGTATTGGAGTAGTGGACGGTTTGGCGTAGAATTGCTACATCCCCACGAGCGATTCTCAAAAGGGTTGATATCAACTCCTATCCGGACAGCGGTGGCGGAAAGTGAATTGGGCTTGTTTAGCACGTGGACCTGTGAAGGGGTTCTTGTTCTCGGAAAAG